ACTATTCGCCAGGAAGCCATCAAGGCAAGCAATCAAGTTCCTTCAGGTCAAACTCCCCTCTAAGACTGAAACTCAAAGGGAACACACAAACAGGCATGTAAACTTGCTGGCGACCACATTTGTCTACTAGTGAGTGGAAGAGGGGAAAAGGCAGCAATGAAGAAATGGGCTGAGTTCAGCCACAGTCCATTGACTCCCGTTGACCTGGAGATGAGAGAAAGAAGAGGAAGGGCTGGTTGGTCCAAAGTTTGGTGAGACTTGAGGACACTTGAGCCCATGGACAAGGACATAGCCACAGAGGACTAGAGCTGAGGGTGAAGCATCCAGCTGATATGAAGTGAGGGGAGATATACAAGAACACTCAAACTTGCAGACAGTACCTATTTGACCTAACTTCGATGACTTGATAATCAGAGCTCGACTAGAGGAAGATTACTATATATATATGTATATGTATATATATATAAAGGAAACAGGGTAAATTGCCACAATTTGATGAACCTGACCTATACTCATGGAGGTAGTGGTGGTGGTTATGTGCCATGTAGTCGGAACCGACTCATAGCGACCCTGTACAGGGTTCCTGAGGCTGTAAATCTTTATGGGAGCAGAAAGCCTCATCTTTCTCCTGTGGAACAGCTGGTAGTTTCGTACTGCTGACCTTAAGGTTCGCAGCCCAACTCATAACCACTACGCTGCCAGAGCTCTATATACTCTTGAAGGTAATAACTCTAAATACCCACAGAGAGGGAAGGAGTCTTCACATCAAGTATCAATGCTATCCCCTCTGTACACAGGGTAGATAGGGACAGGCAACTTAAACATTGGCTACCTAAAATGAGGGGGTGATAAAGGCACAAAGTGACTGGCTTACAAGGTTTCAAGAGGGAATTTAGTTTAAGAGTATAGGGGGGGAAAAAGTCCCCACTGAATAGTTTTCATCTTGTCTAGATGAGTCTGGTGAAAAGAGATGGGGATAAGATTTGTATGATTCAGTAATGAATAATTATTATCATGACTAATTGGGACTGTCACAATTGGTAAAGGTAGAAGTTTTGTAAAAATAACGGGAGTGGTTAATCTTAGAGTCCAGAAACAGAGGGCGCTAAGACCTTCAAGCAGAACACAGGACCTTATCCAGAGAAGTAGCGACGCCAGAGTGGAGGCAGAGATGGGTCATGGAGAGGGGGAACGGCTAAGGACTCTAGATTCATGGGAAGAGAGGAACTAAGAGCTGTTGGCCAGGAGGCAGACCTGCAGAATGT